CTCCCTCTCCCTCTCTCTCTCTCTTTCTTCCCCAAGCTGGTTATGCAAGGATTACTCATGGGGCTATTATTATTCTGATCAGCATATGAGTTTTGATTTGCTCTGTCTCTGACTTGGGCCAGCTCCTCCTTCCTCAGGCAATCTAGTGACCCCCATTCCTGGGGCTTACCATATTGCTGCTAGATTTAGTGCCCATATACCTGATTAGGTTAACCCACTGAAGCTCAGAACTCCCAAGCTCTAGAGATCCCCCAGTCTCAGTTTCACCAATAGCAAGGATTACAGGTGTGCACCACCTGCCTGCCATTTTCTTTTTTAAAAAATGGGAGAAACCAATAGCCTTTTGCTTATAACCTCCTGCTTATAGGAAAGCTAGTGTAGAAGTTTTTCAAAAGCTAAGTTTGCCAGTGTAGTTGTAAAGAGCAAAATGGGAAACTTTTTCAACTATAGATTGGAAGTACAGAAAGTAGTAATATGGTTATATGTAGAACTTTAATGCCTATTAGTTACCACAAATTTGATATAGGTTCAGCATTTTTCAGAAATATTTATTTTGATGCTGTTGTGTTTTTAATTTTTAGCAGACTGCAAGAATTTCGGAAACGAAGAACCTTTCAGAAATCCTAGAAGAAAAAAGTAAAGAATTAAAAAAAACAAAAGAATTTAAAGACAGGTAAATTGTTTAATTTTACGTGAATGAAATATTCTGACTGTAAAATTATACAGTTCCTTGTATTATAAAGGCAGTACAGCATAGTGGATAGAGAGTCAGCCTTAGAGAGAGGAAGTTCAAAGAGGTTTAAGTTCCCCATCTCACATACTGCCTATGTGTGCTCTTAGTGCTCTTGCAGAAAAGGTGCTGCTCTGCATTGGGAGAAGGATTTTCTTTATGTAGGGCTTTTCTATATCCATCAGTGTGTACTGTTGTGTCATATAAAGGGGGAGAATTAGGCAGATTATAAAGTTATATTGGGAGTAAAATATTTACAGATGTATAAAAGAAATATATTGTGTGTATATGTATCTAAGTTGTGGGCTTCATTTGAAAGCCCAGAACACTTTCCCTCATCCGCTCCAATTACTTCCTCGTTTCCTTAAGGTCCCAACTAAAATCCCACCTTCTACAGGAAGGTTTCGTCAGCCCCTCCATTCCAGTGCTTTCTCTCAGTTAATTATTTCCCATTTGTCCTGTATAGAGTTTGTTTTGTATATATTTATTTGCATGTTGTCCCGCTCAAATTGTAAGCTCCTTGAGTGCAAAGACTGTCTCTTTTTGTATCCACAGGGCTTAGCACAGTGCCTGGCATAAAATAGGCACTTAACAAATGTTTATTGAATTGAATTGAATTGTGAAGAAATAAAGAAATATAGTGTTATGAAAATGGCACAGAAGTAAATAAGAAGTCCTAGATCTAGGCCTATTTTTTCCACTGACTATGTGACTGTGCGCAAGTTACTTAACCCTTTTCTATTTCACTTCTCTCATCTGTAAGATGAAAAGAATAGATTGTAAAGTCATAGTCATAGGATCTAGAACTGAAAGGGACCTTTATCATCAGGCCTTCTCATTTTGCAGTTAAGAAAACTGAGGCCCATGGAGGGTAGTGGTTTGCCAACATCACATAGATAGTGCAGGAAAGTTGGGTTTTGAACTCAGGTTCTCTGATGCCATAGCCAATGCTTTTTCTCTAAGGACACTTTGAGTTCTATTCTAAGTCCTATGATACTTGACTGATTTTTCGTATTTTAACTGCATTTTCTATTTAGAATTTTTGAAGAACATGGATATTTTCGTGTATTAGATGAGAATCTTCAAAATAGTCAACCCTTTCTTCCTTATAGTTCTCAGAACTTAGTCAGACCTGTAAGCAGTGAGAGACATTTCTCAGAACCAAGAGGAACAGGTAAAATCTGTGTTTACAACTAAATCATTTATTTTTCTTCTCTTATATCAAAGGCTGTCTCTCTATCCACTATGCCATGTTGCTTCTTACTGTACAGAGCATTATAAAATTTAAAAGTTAGATTATTCAATAAAAATAGAATAAGAAACCCTTTTGATAGGTTTCAATGTGAGATATCCCTTAAATAATACAATGAGCCCATTTTTGTCCTCTAGGCTGAGAAAGGTGCTTCTCTGCTCTTTCCTGAAGGCAAAAAGGAAATGAAAGTCCTATTTTAAGCACCTGTATTTTCTCTGAGGGAGACTAAAACCACAACCAGAAACAGTGCTCTGGTTGTACAATTGCCAGGATAGGGGAAATTATTATATCTATTAGAATATTGTTGTATGATTGGATTATGGACTAGGAGGTAAATTACAGCAGAGTGTAAGCATTTCAGTGACAGGAACTGTTTTTTTAACTTTGTATTATCAGTATAGTTAGGGGCTACTAGGTGGCACAGTGGATAGAGTGCCAGGCCCGGAGTCAGGAAGACATTTTCCTGAGTTCAAATCTGGCCTCAGACACTTAGTAGCTGTGTGACCCTTGCCAAGTCACTTAATCCTTTTTGCCTTAATCAACTGGATAAGGAAATGACAAACCACACTGTATCTTTGCTATGAAAACTCCAAATGGGGACATGAAGAGCCAGATGAAAAAACAACTGAACAACAATTATTTCTAGTGCACATCACAATGCCTTGCATATAATAGGCACTTAATGAGTGGTTATTGAATTGAATTAAATTGGAAAACAGAATTGCAGTGTCTGGGCTGCAGGGACTTGGCCCTTAATACTTCTTAGGCTGGCTCCTTTTAATAGGTCTGCAGATCAGCTAACCCATATCATCACTTTAAGTACGGATATCGATTTTCCCCACTGGCTCTTTCACTGATCACCTTGTAAGCTGAATTTTTGTTAGTGTGTTTGTATTTCACCAGGAATTATAATCAGGCTCATTATCATTCACAACAAAGATAACTATTATAGAGATAACATGGCATCATGTATAGTAAACTGACCTGGAAGCCAGGAAGTCCTCAGTTTATAATCTGCTTCTGCCTCATACAGGTTGTAACTCTAGATAAATCAGTTAAACTCTTGATGCTGTAGCCCAGGCCTGCACAACATATGGCCCATGGGCCATTTGTTGCCCACCAAAGGAATTTGGACAGTCCTTGAGAAATATAGGGTTCCCACTGTGCACTCTTTTGTTTATCACATTATCCGCAGACCAACCATCGTCAGTCTGTCTCCAGTCTAACCAATCTACAGCCCGAAGAAGTTTAACTTATTTTAATTTTGGCCCTTACCTAACTGCCAAGTTGTGCAGCTCTGCTGTAGCCATTTCTCTAAGACAGTACTTCTTAACCTTTTGTGTGTCATGGATCTTTTTGGCAGTCCAATGAAGGATATGGATCCCTTCTCAGAATGTTTTTAAATGCCTAAAATAAAATCCAGAGGCAACTAGGTGGTACAGTGGATAGAGCTCTGGCCTTGGAGTCAAAAG